TGCGTGTGCGTGTGCGTGTGCGTGTGCGTGTGCGTGTGTGTGTGTCAGGCTGCTGGAGAAGAAGGAGAAGGCTGTTCAGAGACTGAGTGAGCAGTTGAAGAAGCTGCAGCTGCAGGAAACCGATCGCGAGGAGAACAAAGTCATTGCTCTGGGCACGTCCAAACTCAACTATCTGGACCCACGCATCAGCGTGGCCTGGTACAGCTACAGGCACACACACACACTCTCTCTCTCTCGCTCTCTGTCTCTCTCTCGCTCTCTGTCTCTCTCTCGCTCTCTGTGTCTCTCTCTCTCTCTCTCTCTCTCTCTCTCTCTCTCGCCTCCTGTCCCTCTCTTTCACTCACTCACTCACTCACTCACTCACTCGTGCGCACACACACACTGACTCGCGCACACACACAGACACACACTCCTTTTCCACCGTCATGAGTGCTGGTGCTCATCGTGACCCCATTTTTCTCCAAGCAAAGCGAGCTGTGAGTTGTTATTCTGTGTTTCAGATCAAATCTGGTCAGTCAATCAAAATGGTTTTTCCTCTATTAATGACAAAACACTGAATTAAATGACTCTGAATGTCAAAATAAGTTAGCAAAAACGGTATAAATCCCCTTCACATCCATAGGAGTTCACAACACTACTATAACGATCACTGGAATCACTTTCAGAATGTGTTTTCCAGCTGATGAATGATTAAAACGATCTTGAAAAACATTCATGTGCGTTAAACTCGTAAGTACGACCTTGACCTGAGCACATCATAACACCAGCACCATTTGGGAGGAAAACGTCATAAAAGAGAAACTGCAGCTACTGATGAAGCATTGATTGATTGGCTGTATGTGAGTCTCTAATCGCGTGATGTTGTTCTGTAGGTGTAAGAAACATCAGGTGCCCGTTGAAAAGATCTACAACAAAACCCAGAGGGACAAGTTCGCCTGGGCCATCGACATGACTGACGAGAACTTCCAGTTCTGAAGAGCAGCCCGTGCTTCTGTGTTAATGTTGTGCTGTGTGATTATTTGTGCTGTTTTGTTTTTTTGAATCAATGATGCTAGCGTCTCCAGTAAAGCCTCTCGTTCATCAGCTCGCTGTTCTTTCTTCTGAGCGACAGCTGCCAGTCTCTAGTTTGCATTATCAGCCTCGAACGCTTCAATACAAGTCGCTTCAGAATAGTGCAGAGGTTTTTATAGCAGGGCTTCAATATTTGATCAGCCGCTTCTACCTGCTGGGTTTAAATGAGGCTGAAGGTGTGACTCAGAATGTCAACGTGACACGAGAGTCGAGATCTGGAGGATCATCAGAGAGATCGGGATTTGGGCCGGATTAGAGTTTCTCTGAGAGGAACGGCTGGGAATAATAAGCGCTCTGGGAGCCGCAGTCTGTTTGCAGGAGCGTCGTGACCTGCTAATATCGCATTTATCACTGCAACAAAACGCTCGAGAGATCCGTGTTGAGCGTCTCAAGCACACATCAGAAATCAGTGTAGTCGTTTGAGCGTTTCGGTCGAGAAACACCGTTCTGTCCATTAGTTTCATTCATCCTTCAGGTTCAGTTCCTCCCACTCTTTGGCTTTATAACCAATGTTTGTTCATGCATTTGATTTTTCTCTGCTGTAAGAGTGTTGGACTGTAATGCAGCTGATGGGTTCGTTGTGCTGGTGAATGTTCCGAAGGTTTTTAATATTTAAAAATAATATTTAAATGCGTGTGCGCAATCAAGTGTTACAGAAACATGCTTAACACCCTCACCTAAATCATCTTTCTGCTTCGTCTAATTTTCCAAGGTTTCCAGAGGCTTGAAGAGCACACCCACCTTTTCAAAATCAGACATTTTTTTTTTATTTATATTTGTTTACATTATTTTTATTTATATATACCATTTTTTTTTATTTTATCCATTTCCCCTACAAAGTCCCCAGAATTTGGCTCGGATGATCTTCAGTCCAGATGCTTTCTTGATTTCAGAAATCGTTATCTAGTCGTTTGCAGATGTGGTTAATTAGTCAAGATGGCACTTAAATCCTGTGGCTGTATTTTGGCACTGAATCTCCGCTCGAATGACAGACACAGTCTTCCAGAGATTGACCCGTTCTTCTCTGTATTTGAGCTGTGCTTTAACTGACCATGACCGACAGTAATGATCTTTAAATGACTTTATTTATTCAGCTCAGATGCTTCTCCGTCTTTAATTGTCCAGAATCTGAGTTTCTGGCAGCTTCCCAGCTAACAACATTGTTACGCAGATGTTGTCCTCAGTGTTCAAAACGTCCAGATTTTTAAACCGTCCTAACTTCTTCTGGTTATGTGAACGTAAAGGGAACATTCCATCGGTTTGATAGTTACGTCTGAATGTTACTAGTTTCAGAACATTCAGAGAACATTCAAACAACGTTAGATGAACGTCCAACAAAAACATTTCAGGAATAAAGCGTTCCATGAGCAATGTATGAATAATGCTTTGAGAACCTTGTTAAACACCAAATAACTAAACGAGCTGATTTATTCAGAGGAACGGAGAACAAACACGGCTGTAGCTTATGATGAATACTGTCTGACTTCATTCCCTCAAGAGTGTGTACAGTTCCTCTGCGCTTTAAATATAAAATAAAGGTGCTTTGGATTATTAAAGGAATAGTTCACTCAAATGAACATTAGCTGAATATTCACTCGGCCTCAGATCATCTTGAGATCAGGTTTGTAGAAATGTAGCACTGCATCAGTGTCTCAGCAATGGATGCTCTGCAGTGAATGGGGACTGGAGTGCTGTGGATTATTGTGATGTTTTTATCAGCCGTTTGGACTCTCATTCTGACGGCACCCATTCACTGCAGAGCATCCATTGCTGAGACACTGATGCAGTGCTACATTTCTCCAAACCTGATGAAGAAACAAACTCATCCTGATCTCGGATGATCATTTTTGGCATATTCTAATTTTTGTCTGAACTATTGCTTAATGTTCATCGCGGTTCTTTTAAGAAGGGGTCGCTGAGAGGTTTTTTATAGGAAGCCAAAAATGCATCTCCTATTGTGTTGCTGCAAGAGTTTTAGACCGAGAACACATTTCCAGGCTGATAACTGAGGGCTTTCATTCCAAGATCCCAAAGGTGCCAAATTCAGCTTCTGTAGGCGTTTCCTTTCTCCAAACTTTCATCTAAAATCAAATCAGATGTTCCTCTGAAGGAAACACGGCTTTCTCACATCAAGGACAGACAAGTCTCGTCAAATGTGTTTCTTTAGATGCACTAAGACACGAAAAACAGATTGACCTTCTGAATGAAACGTGTGCAGCTTCTAGTTCTCCCTTTCCCTCGACCTCTTCATCTTGCTTCTGTGTTTCTAGAGCGCTCGATTCTCCGCCGCGGCGCAGATGATCCGAACAAGGATTTTTCCCACATTAGTGACTGCAGACCCATCCGAACAGAACTCTTTTGGGTTCGCCGCTGTCGTCTTCAGTGGTCTTACTGTGCAAAAGAGGCTTCAGCTGGAGGCGTGCAACCATTTCTCAAACTAAAACCTTTTGTTCCGCCTCCAGACGTTACATTTATGGGGAATCGGTTTACAACGAGACGAGCAGAGCACAACTGAATTAAGCATCTCATTTGGAGACGGACGAAAGTGTGCGCTCATTTGATTCTGCCTTGTGAAAGTGAGTTTCTCTGCGAGCGTGAGAGTTTGGTTCCAGTGTCTGTGGCAGTCTGCCACTGAATATTGAACAGCACCGAGCTGTTTCTGCTCCTTACGGAGGGATGAAATGCTGTCAGAAGCAAAACTCTGGGCCTGTAGATCCAGCAGCTGCTGGGACGTGCGTCTCGAGTCAGATGCTGGAACATTTACAGCTGTTGCAGTCGTGGAAGTGAGCGACGGGCTTCTGCGTGAGCTGGGTTTGGGATGTATTTTTCATGTGTCTGCGCCGTCCTTTTAGGAGGACCGGCTAATTATCCTTTCTGGCCTAACCGCAGACACGGAGTCTAGTTTTGCTCATGCATTTATTCATCGTATCTCACAAAGCCACGGTCTTCCTCTGATTAAAGAAGCGCTGCTTTAGAGGAAGCCCTGTTAGTTTCCCGCGTCTAAGGCGTGTTCTGTAAATGCTTGGGTTAGGGTCAGTGACCTCTGACCCCGACTGACCGGCACTGTCAGGAACTGTCTGTTCTAGAACTTCATACACACACACACACACACAAAGTATCAATCCAGCTCGTGCTTCACTCTCAAAGCTCATGAATTTATTAATTTTTTTTATTGATTTGTGGAGTGAAGCATGAGCTGGAAATTCAGCCTATAAAACTACAAGCAGAAAACATGTTTAAATCCTACTGTATCATATCAGAAGGCCTTTAAATCATCAAACTCTGCTGTTAAACCTGTCGTCTGGTTGATAGTTTAGAGTGTTTTATCCAGTCAAAGCTCTTTTAGTGTAATTGTACAAGCGTCCAGCTTCAGCTGCTGCTTCTTGAGTCAAATCTTGACTGATTTTGATCAAGTAAGAGTCAGAATAACTGCAGTAATATCTCCGGATGAACACTTACTGGACTGAAGCAGCTCAGCTTTACTTGATTCTCCATCAATCATGTTTTAGAGTCTCAAATCTGATCCTCAGGATCTTTTGAGGAGCGTTTGTTTCCAGAAGCTTTACTTTCACTGTTCCTCAGCGGAGGAATGATCTTCACAAGCCTCCAGAACATCTCACATCTTCTGAGGAGCCTTTATTTCTTCAGCTCTCAATCACTGCATTATATGTTTGGATCATTTCAATCTCATCTTATTATTACTGGAGATATAGAGCGACGACTGATATTTATAGCATTTTATCTCAGTATCTGCTCTATACTGTTAGAAAGATCTCATTGATTTACATCACAAGCAGCAGAGTTTCATCTCAGAAATATCTGCATCTGCACCGAACTGCATATTTTTGCTCAGTTTGGGTCTCTGAATAAAACTGAGCTGTCCTTTCCTCCATATTCTCACTATGTCAGACTATATGAGGCATAAACGCCTGATGGAGCAAATATCAAAAGCTTTTATATTTGTCTAAAGGTTCATTAAACTGTACCATGTTAGATTTTTCTGACTATTATTTCATGTGTTAGGCTGTAATCCTCATATCTCACTGAGACAGATTACTGCAGATATAGAGTGACGACTGATATCTAGATCATTTTATCTCAGTATCTGCTCTATACTGTTAGAAAGATCTCATTGATTTACATCACAAGCAGCAGAGTTTCATCTCAGAAATATCAGCATCTGCAGCAAATGCAAGTCGCTGAATAAAATTGAGCTCCATATGAGCCATAAAGCCTGATGCATCAAATCTGGTTCTCAACGAAAACACATGCAAGCTTAAATCTCGTCTACAGGTTGACTTCTATTTTCCCGAGTGCTGTTTCAGGCCTCAGCTCTGTTCCTGACTCGTGTGTTGCTCCTGCAGACGAGTGAAGTGTTTGCTGTTTTCCTCTCATCTCAACACGTATATTGTGGTCTTATCAAACGAGAGACGAGCGTCTGATAATCTCAGGCCCGAGGAGCCTTATGAGAAAAGAGCTGCTAAATGACAAATAACCAAATAAACCACAGCTGAGCCACGCGTCACAGATCCGCTTCAGCAAAACAAATCGCCCTCATCATGGACATGTATAAAGAACAGGCGCATGAATTAAAGATGAGCAGTAATTGAACTCTCTGGCAGACCATTACAGCGTTCCTTAACATCAGCGATGGCATGAATGAGTGTTTAAAGCACGGTTACAGTAAACCGCTCAGGCTGAAGGCTCTGTGATGCTACAGTAGATTCATCAGTCGTTTTGTTCTGACCTTGCATTGAAAAGAGATGCCACTGAAACAATCTCCTCAGAAATTGCTAGTGAGTTTAACATAATGATGTAAAATAAAAAATGCACATAAATGGCAACCCATTGAATTAAAGATGATATTAAAAATAGTAGTGTTGTCAAACGATTAATCGTGATCCAAGATCCAAGGTTTTGTTTACATAATGTTTACTGTTTATATTTATGTATATATAAATACACACAGTATATATTTTGAAAATATTTACATGCATGTTTATATTCATATAATTTATATTTAATATATAAACATTACATTTTTCTTAAATATATACATGCATGTGTGTGTATTTATATATACATAATAAATATACACAATTTTTTATACTGTATTGTACTTAGATTTGTACTGTACCGTGGTACTCCTGTCTCCAAATACCATGGTCAAATTCAGTACTTTTATTGTAAGTGATATTTTACACTGAAAGAAAAACGGTGTAGAAACAATTTTCACTCAGAAATGACCAGAACATTTTGCAATTAATAACAAAGAAACGACAACTTTAACATGAAGTTTCAAAGTAGAAAGACTGAAATAGTATTTTCTTGTAAAACATACTCCAAAACTATGATCTGTTTTGTTGATCTGTTTTCTATATCTATGTATTTTAATATTTACCCAGCTCACAGGGAACGTTCCGACAAGGTTCTCTCAAAGTTATTATCTGGTCTTTATAATGTTCTCGAAACATTAGCACAAAAACATTTATATGTCGTTTATGGAATGTTTTGTTGTTGTTTCAGAACGTCCAGAGAGCATTTAATGTTCCCATAATGTGTGATAAATGTGATACAATTAAATGTTCCCTTAATGCATGAAATGAAAAGAATTTAAATAAGATGTTTTGAATGCTCTGTAAACATTAATAACATTTTCACAATTTAATGGCAACGTTATAGCAAAACATTCTCCAGTTGCACTAATACGAGAATAGCACAGTATTACCATGATGCCATGTGCAAAAACATGGTATTGCATGGTACAGTTCGATCATATCATAAGACAGAAAGTGCATGATATTCATTAGTGAATTAATGACTGGCTGTGTGATAAACTGCTTTCATGCGAGTCGCCTAATTGTTTCAAAAGTCGCATGTCATTAAAATTGACTCATAAGATCACGGTGATTGAATCCGAGTCCTGCTGCGGTCCGATCCATCAGAGAGCGCGCCCACGACTGCGCTCCGCGGGGGAGAAGCGTGATTCATTTGAGCGAGTCGGTTCATTCGAACGATTCCTTTTAGATGAACGTGTTCATAGAGCGGATCGTCAGTGCACCCTTTGATTTATCACTCAAATGTGTCTTTTAAAATACTCTATAGTCATATTGCTGCTTGTAACTACGTTTTAAATGAGGTTATATAGATTATTTTAAATATCGTGTTCGAAAAATAACCGTGGTTTTACTACAAATAAAACCAAAAAACATGCTTACTGTAGTTTAACCATGGTATGTCTAGTAAAACTGTGGTTATACAAATGGTAATCAATACGCCAAAAACAAACATTTATTTTACTACTATAAAACCATGGTTAATTATCGTAAGGGATGTTATTGTTAAAACAAAATTAGCAATACTTTTCCTAGTTAATAATATTATTTATTAATAACAGTAATATGAATTATTCCAGTTATAGTCCACAATATTCTTCCCATCTCTAACAAAGTGATTCAGTGGATTGATGTTCGTTTTGACCGAGTCATTAAAAGAATCGGTTCAAACGAACGGCTCGCTAGAAGCGGAGGTTCTCCTCGGACTGAAGTCAGAGATGAGAGCTGTCGCTGTCACAATGCTTCCTCTGCTCTTGCGCGCTTTCTGGAGTCTAAAGGCTGGTTCTGAGGATGTAACGACGAGGAAAAACACATTTATTCTTTACAGAGCGGATGAGAAACTTTAACGCGTTTAACATTCTCATCTTCTTCACGAGAATCGTCTGTTACGCGAAACTTTCTCTGTTTTTTGTGAGAGGATTTGTTGTTAAAATGCCGTCTTTCTATTCTCTCGTCATTCTGTTTTCTTCAGGTGAGTAACTATGTGGATGCTATGCCTTGAATATTAATATTCCGGTAGAAAGGTGTGTTTGCGAGTCTGTGGGGGGGCGTAAAGGAATCATTTGCCACTCACTGAATCAAATGTGTGAGATTTGAAGATTCGGTTTGAATGTCATGCACTGACCGTCTCTGATGATTATGGCGTGTAATGTGTGTGTGTGTGGTGTGTGTGTGTGTGTGTGGTGTGAGTGTGTGTGGTGTGTGGTGTGAGTGTGTGTGTGTGTGGTGGTATAGACAGCTTTACTGATTATAAGGGGAGTTCTTTAAGAGTGCTTAAACTGAAGTCAGTCTAATGTTCTTTGACAATGTAAATGTTCTTTGCTCGCTTTCTCTGTATATTCGCTGTTTGAATAACCGTGGAAGGAACAGGTAAAAAATACGTGAACATCCTCTTTCATAGCATCATCAAGCTTCACCTTTGTTATTGTTTAGATGCAACCTCTAGTGGCGAAAACTTACATATTGTGCCTTTAAAGGGTTAGTTCACCCAAAAAGGAAAATTGGTCCATGTTTTACTCACCCTCAAGGCATGCTAGGTGTATATGACTGTCTTCTTTCAGACGAATCCAATCGGAGTTAAATTTTATCCACCCCGCGGAGCCGTGTGAGGCATGTTTTATTATGGATGCACACGCTTTATTTGACTTCTTTTGGACCATTGACGAAAACACCCATTCACTGCCATTATAAAGCTTGGAAGAGCAAGGACAATTTTTTATATAACTCCGATTGGATTCGTCTGAAAGAAGAAAGTCATATACATCTAGCATGCCTTGAGCGTGAGTAAAACAAGCGTTTATTTTAATTGAATAAAGCAGGGGTGTCAGCCCCGCAGAGTTTAGCTCCAAACCTAATTAAACCCTCCTGATCCAGCTAATCATGTCATTTAGGTTTATTTGCGAACTACACGGTCTGTGTGCTGGAGCAGGTTGGAACTAAACTCTGCAGTGCTTGGGCCCTCCAGGAACTGAGTTTGACGCCCTGCTGTAAAGCGTTCTTCTTGTGACTGCAGCTGCGAGGTGCGACCCGGTCCGGAGTTCCTCACTCGCTCCTACCGCTTCTTCCCCGACGGCAGCTTCCAGGCGCTGCAGTTCTACTACCAGGACCCTGACTGCAGCGAGCCCAGCTACAGCCTGCTGATCCGGGGCAGCGTGCGGCCGCTGCGGGCCTCCTGGCTGGTGCGCGGAGGAACGGCGAGCGAGGTGCTTGTGAGCTGCGTCCAGCAGTGGTGCCTGCAGACGGCCTGCGACCCGCCGGACACACCGGCTCCGGACCGCAGCATGCAGGAGCTGACGCTGATGCGCCTGGAGCTCCAGGCCGAGGAGCTGTTCCTGGGAGACGTTCACACGGAGCGCGCTCAGCCCGCGGGATACCAGAGCCCCCTGCGGAGCGCCAAGGTCAGGACGCAGACGTCTGCGCTGCTGCATATGCATGCGCTCCGGCCCGGCGCGGGGCATTAATATTAACCCAGAGTGAGGAGCACTCAGAATAGAATATAGTGCAATGCGCTCTCTAGTGCTTACACACATTTTCAAACTTTGCTTCTTTTTTTAAAACATTCACACACAAATCCAAGAACTGCACACAAAATGCAAAATGCATTCAAAATATCACAAACGCATCTCAAAAGCAAACATTTGTCTTGCGTTGCAAACACCTTTGCCATAATATTATATTTTTGGATATACAGTCAAACCAAAAATTATTCAGACAGCAGATAAATTTTTGATATTTATTTACTAGTGTGTGCAGGACACTGTAGTTCATTTATGTAAGTGAGGAGAGCAAAATAAAGTGAACTGTGACTTATTACACCCAAAAACTCTCCGGATCAAAAATGATTCAGACACTTTGAGCTGAGCATGTTTTGCTGAAGTGTTTTTCTTTAATTGCTAATGTGATCTTTTTACTCCACAGACTGAACTAAATGAAGCACTGCTTGGTAATTAGTTGAGCTAAATTGTCACCTTTGTTATTGTTTAGATGCAACCTCTAGCGGCGAAAACTTACATATTGTGCCTTTAAAGGGTTAGTTCACCCAAAAAGGAAAATTGGTCCATGTTTTACTCACCCTCAAGGCATGCTAGGTGTATAAGACTGTCTTCTTTCAGACGAATCCAATCGGAGTTAAATTTTATCCACCCCGCGGAGCCGTGTGAGGCATGTTTTATTATGGATGCACATGCTTTATTTGACTTCTTTTGGACCGTTGACGAAAACACCCATTCACTGCCATTATAAAGCTTGGAAGAGCAAGGACAATTTTTTTATATAACTCCGATTGGATTCGTCTGAAAGAAGAAAGTCATATACATCTAGCATGCCTTGAGCGTGAGTAAAACAAGAGTTTATTTTAATTGAATAAAGCAGGGGTGTCAGCCCCGCAGAGTTTAGCTCCAAACCTAATTAAAACCTCCTGATCCAGCTAATCATGTCATTTAGGTTTATTTGCGAACTACACGGTCTGTGTGCTGGAGCAGGGTTGGAACTAAACTCTGCAGTGCTTGGGCCCTCCAGGAACTGAGTTTGACGCCCTGCTGTAAAGCGTTCTTCTTGTGACTGCAGCTGCGAGGTGCGACCCGGTCCGGAGTTCCTCACCCGCTCCTACCGCTTCTTCCCCGACGGCAGCTTCCAGGCGCTGCAG